TAGAAGATACCTTAGTAAAACTTAGACAAGAATAAACATTTCAGTTATGTTGAACATTTGTTTTACTTTGTCTAGTTTTGTGATTGCCTGTGCATTCGGTTAAGAGATGACCGGATGTGGCGGTAACACCCATTTCCCATTTAATGTTATTTCCGCTGCAAGACTTTTTATCTGTTTTAAAAGAATAAATCAAGTCTATTGTTAATAAATCTATTATTTCAAGTATTATTTTGGGAGGGAAAATGGGGGTGTTACATGAACACTTCCTTCTTGTTTACAACAAAGATCCTCCAATAGTTTCTTCAGCCAAAGAGCTTGTTTAGCTGCAGCACCAACAGCTATATACTCTGCCTCAGTAGAAGATAGGGCCACAGTATCCTGCTTCTTTGAACTCCAAGTAATTGCCCCAGATCCTAGGTCAAATACTGACCCAGAAGTACTTTTTCTATCATCTATGCAGCCTGCCCAATCACTATCTGTATAACCCTGCAGTGAAAAATGCTTCACACTTTCATATAAGATGCCATAGTCCAAAGTTCCAGCCACATACTTCAGAATCCTTCTTGTTGCTCCAAGATGCTGCCTTGTGGGAGAGTGCATATACCTGGAAACAACACTCACACTATATGCAATATCTGGCCTGGTGTTTGCCAAATAATTCAGACCTCCTACCATACTCCTATAGAGTCTTTCATCTGCATATTCAGTACCATCATTTTTCTGCAGCTTTTCACTAGTATTCATAGGTGTTTTAGCAATTTCACACCCTTCCATGTGAAATCTCTTAAGTAGATCAGTAGCATACTTTCTTTGACATAAGAAAGTTCCTGCTTTACCTTGTTTAACTTCTAAACCAAGGAAATACTTCAAAACACCTAAATCAGTCATCTCAAATTCCTTTTTCATAGAATTCTGAAATTCTTCTAACATTATATGTGAAGAACTAAAATATATGATATCATCTACATAAAGGCAGACTATTAGATAGTCAGACATACCTTTCTTCTTCACATATAATGTAGGTTCATTATCACTTCTCTTAAACTCATTATTGAGGAAGAATGAGTCAATTTTGCTGTACCATGCTCTTGGTGCTTGCTTTAGGCCATATAGGGCTTTCTTCAGTTTATACACCTTGCCTTCTTCACCTTTGATTTCAAAACCTTGGGGCTGCTCCACAAACACTTCTTCAGTAAGCTCCCCATTCAAAAAAGCTGATTTGACATCTAACTGATACACAGGTAGTGTCCTTTGTGCAGCCACTGCAAGTACAGCCCTCACAATTTCAAATCTTGCCACAGGAGAGAAGGTTTCCTCATAATCTATTCCTTCCTTCTGTGCATAGCCCTTTGCCACTAGTCGTGCCTTGAGCTTTGAGATGCTGCCATCTGGATTATACTTTATTCTGTACACCCATTTCAGCCCTATCACATTCTTTTCACTTGGCAGATCCACAATTAAGTTCCCATGTATCATTCCTTTGAATGGAATTGATCTCCTCCTTCATGGCTTGTTGCCATTCATGATGGGTAGCAGCCTCCTCAAAGTCTTCAGGTTCACTAGCAAGAAGAGCAAGATCACAGGATTCATAAATATCAATAAGAGATCTTACTTTTCTTGGAGGTGAATCACTGCTTGAGGTTGAGTGAGATGATGGTGAACTCTGAGGTGTTGGTGGTGGACTAGGCTGACCTGTTATCTCAGTTGTTGCATGATCTTCCTCCAAACTGATGGTTCTTTGCATGCCCTTGCTTTGGTGATCCTGCAGCTTCCAATCCCAGCATGATTCCTCATCAAAGATAACATTTCTCCCAATGATTATCTTGCCAGTATGAGGATTGTATAACCTGTATGCCTTAGACTGAGTAGAGTATCCAATGAAGATACACTTTTCAGCCTTATCATCTAGCTTAGCTCTTAGGTTGATAAGAGTATAAGCTATGCATCCAAAGACTCTGAGATGACCAACTGAGGGCTTCTTCCTCCTCCAAACTTCAAATGGGGTCTGATTCTTCAAAGCTCTTGTTGGTGAGATATTGAGTATATATATTGCAGTTGCCACAGCTTCACTCCAAAACTCAGTTGGTAAACCCTTTGATTTCATCATACTTCTTGCCATTTCTACCACAGTTCTATTCTTCCTTTCTGCAACTCCATTTTGCTCAGGAGTGTATGGTGCTGTGAGTTCTCTTCTAATGCCTTGTTCTTCACAAAACTGAGTGAATTCCTTAGATAGGAACTCACCTCCCCTGTCAGTTCTTAAAGCTTTGACTTCTAGCCCACTTTGTTTCTCTACAAGTGCTTTGAACTTCTTAAAGTTCATAAAGGATTCTGATTTGTCCTTCTGAAAGAACACCCAAGACATCCTGCTAAAGTCATCTGTAATCATTAGGAAGTATTTACTTCCTCCTAATGACTCAGTCTGCATAGGTCCACACAAATCAGCATGCACCAACTATAAACATTCACTTGCTCTCCATGTATTTCCTTTGGGAAATGAGCCTCTAGTCTGCTTACCATATATGCAGCCCTCACAAAGCTGCAATTCACCAATCTTTGGCAAGCCATACACCATCTCCTTTGAGCTGAGCATCTGTAGGCTTTGAATATTCAAATGCCCAAGTCTGAGATGCCATAACTTGGCATTTTCCTCTCCTTTGACAATTAATGCCCTTCCATACTGACCTGAGAGATCCAATGGAAAGACTTTATTCTTTCCCATTGTGATTCTCATCAGTACTTCACCATTCTGCTTATCCTTGATTACACACATATCATTCTCAAAGATAACAGAATACCCACCATACACTAGCTGACCAACACTTAGCAAATTATGGGCAAGTTGAGGCACATACTGAACATTTTGTAAAATTTTTACCTTGCCCTGATCAGTTTGCAGAGATATTGTACCAAGCCCTTCTACATTGAGCTGCTTACCATCTCCCAGCCTCACAACACTTTTCTTTGACTCATCTATCTCCTTGAACATGTCCTTAGAACTGGTCATGTGATTTGAACACCCACTATCAACATACCAAATGGACATGCCACCATAATCAGAATTATGTTGAGCCAAGAATAGATTTTCTTGTTCAGCATAATTTGACTTGGATTCAGTCTTTCCTTGCTCCTGATCCTCTTCTTTCTTCCAGCACTGAGCCTCCTTATGACCTGGCTTGTTACAGTAGTAACATTTGAAAGGGCTTTTAGAGTTATTGGTGTGAGACTCCTGCCTTCCTCCATTGAATTGACCTCTACCTCTGCCCCTTCCTCTATAGCCTCCTCTATTTCCACCTCTACCTCTCCCTCTTCCTCTGCCTGGGAAGTGAGGCTGTTGGTCTCTAGGTGCCTCCCCTCTAACCTGAAAGGCTTGCTCTTCCACCTTGTCACAGTCCATGTTGCCCCTCTCCTCATAAGCTTGCAAGGATCCCTTCAATTCTTCAAAAGTGTATACTTCCAGATCTTTGGCCTCTTCAATGGCACACACTAGTTGCCCATACTTAGGTGTAAGGCTTCTCATAACCTTACTTACAACCTGCTGAGGCTTGATATCCTCTCCATAGGATTTCATCTGCTGCACTAAACTTGTAATTCTTGAAAGATAGTCCTGAACACTTTCTTTATCTTTCATGCGTGCATTCTCCATTTCTCTTCTAAGAGATTGTAATCTCACCATGATTACCTTCTTGTCTCCTAGGTATTCTTGTTTCAGAATACTCCAAGCTTCTTTTGAGGTTGAGGCAGCTGCAATTCGAGGGAAAATATCATCATCGAAAGCTTGTTGAATGAGATATAGGGCTTTTGCATCCTTCTTTCTTTTGTCTCTCAAATTTTGATCAGGTTCCTCCGGTTGATCATCTGCAAATCCGTCTTCCACAATACTCCATAGATCATGAGATTTGAAGAGTGTTTTCATCTTCAAACTCCAGAAATGATAATTAACTCCTTTAAACAAAGGCAGTTGATTAATAGAGTTTCCATTGCTTGAGCCTTGCATATTTTCTCTCTTTTTTTTTTGTTTTTGTGTGATCTCTCTTCCTCACAATGTTAGACGTTCAAACAGGTGTTTGGATCGTCCTTAAGCTCTGATACCAAGTGTTGAACTCAAGCAAGGAAAATACAAAAGAAATGAATGCAAAAACTTATCCATTATCATACGGATTAGGGGTATAAATACCCATTACAATGCTTGATCAAATGAATTAGAAAATGGCTGAACTACTTCCTATTCTTTAGCCATATCCCACGTACAACCATTAACAAATGCAAAGACTAAAACAGCTCCTATAAAGATGCTAACAACATAAGACTTATTCAAATGGATTAACAATAACAAAATAATAAATAGATGACAAGTCTTCTACGTGTGCATGGCCACGTATGCACACATCCTTTGTTAAGCTTTGATCATATCTCAATAAGGGGTGTTATTATACCATTTATACCTTAATACTACGTATAAAACATGTGGTTCATTACCATATAAATGACTTATCTGTTTATTAAAGTCGATTTTTACGTAGTGATCACAGGTAATAACATACCGATCTAGAATACACCAAGTGTCATATAGTCTTATTTACTAATTTAAGGTACCTAACATGTACTCCCTCTGTCCCGTTGGAATGTTCCCGTTCACTATTCATTGGTCAACTTAGGTCACTCCTAATCTTTTATTTTATATATCAAATTTTTATCAAATTGAACTTTTCTTAATTAGGCTTTGTAGCGGTTTTAATGTAGTTTCTGAATATGTAAATTTTATTTACTAAAAATAAGCGGAGTGTGAACAGGGATCGAGTTGCTTTATCGTCAGTCAAGCATCGTAAACCGAACGGGAACATTCCAACGGGACGGAGGTAGTATGACATCCTAAAACATACATTATATAGTTATCACGAAGATTGACTTCCCTTTTAATCATTCTTACCATGTATTGAATTACCTGGATAAATACAAGAATTATATAGTTAATACATGTATTCTCTTGGCTACATGATACAATTGTGGACATCTTTATTTCCTATATACTCATTTGGTTACGTAATTACATAACCAAATATTATACAGTCTTTAACATGGGTATCAATTGACATTCGACGATAACATGTAAGTATATTAGAACCGTCAAAAAATAACATTTTACAATGTGTCAAGTCTAGATCAAAAAGCTACCTAAGCTAGAAGTTCTAACTTAAATATAATGCATCACAAGAACAATGGGACAAACCCCTGTCAAACAATTTCACAATAATAAAAAGGCAAAGCCAAAAGACCAGCCGTAGTTCAAAATACTAGCAGCCCCAAAACAGCAACTAAATCAATTCCATATGCCTCACCTCATCAAAAGTAGAACCAGCCATACCCTTGTATATAATCAGCGAACTATTTCTTCTTTTTTCCAATCATATTTTTCCAATATGGGTCACCCTTTGGATGGAGATCCTCCAATTTGGCGATTGTTTCCAGCCAACTTAAACCTGGGATTTTAATTAACATTCTACTTCTGTCTACTTTAGCATCTTCCCTAATCTTGTAAAACTTACCATCCAAATAAACTTCAACAAGCGTATCGTCTACCTCCTGGTTCACTGTGTCGGTAACAAGCATCGAGTTCCCAGTTTCCTCCAAAATCTTTTCTGCCGCAAGTTGAGCATTGGGTAGTTTGTCCTCCTCTATCTCCATCCTCTTCTCCACGGTCTCCTTCACAGCGTCCTGTCCAGCAACTTTTATAATAGCAACATCCATGTTCGTTTCTTTCCCATTTTTCTCCTTTAGTTCTTTTTCCGCTAGCTCTTTACAAATAAAAGGGTGGTGCCCATATTTTTTGCAATGAAAACAGAAATTCGGAAAGGTCTCATATACCACTTGTTGATTGAAAACCTTTTGGGATGGTAAACGTATAGGAAAGGATAGTGGTGGCGGCTTCGAGACATCAACTTCGACAAGTACTCTAGCAAAATTATGATTTGCCCTCTCTTGGGTGATTCTGTCCGTCGTTAACGGAGTTCCAATCATAGAAGCCACCTCGCTCATTGCTTCCTCATTCCACAATTGCATCGGCAAGTTAGGTAGTTTAACCCAAATAGGCACTTTGAGGAATTCTTCATCATCAAATGAGAATTCCTCAGACAGTACTTTAAGCATAAGAAGCTTTCCAAATATGGTGTATGGTCCCTCATTCAAAACTTTCATTCTATCCGCATCGTTTTGGAATTTGAAAATAATCCAACCTTTGTCATGGGGCCTTACAAGGCACCTCACTCCCCATTTTTCTTTCAGTTCATAGACAGCCTTGAGGCCAGGGAACCGTCCTGTGAAGCAGCCAACTAGACAATGTCCCCACATCTCAACCATGGTCGGCATAACCTTATTAGTAAAATCCAAAACACTACCCTTCGGCTCGATAAATCTCAATTTAATTCCATGAGTTGGGGCTCGGTTATCCTTAAAGAGTGTGTTCCATGGTTTCTTATCCATTCCAGCCGCTGTGGGGATAGCAATTGCCTCAGGTTTGTCTGCCAGCATATAATTCTGCCCAACTATTTTAGCCCCAGCAATCTCTGGTACCTTAACAGCAGCCTCCAGTGGACTGCTAAGGCCATGAACTGCACTTTGTTTCAGCATCACTTGCACCTTAGTCGCATTAGAAACCGGGTTAATTGCCTTAGCAACAGGTGCAGCAGTTATGGCAGAATGCTTTCCAGAAGGCTGGACAGATACTCCACTCCCAGAAGCCATAGGAGCAGAATCAGGCTTATCTCCTTCCTTCAGACCAGTCAGCTTAGCAGCAATTTGATTCAAAACAGGGTTCATGTCCTTGTTTGCAGAGTTCGCATCAGGATTTTTTGCATTCATCCCAGAGATTAGAGCTGGGAAATCGTCCTCTGTAACTGCCAAGACATCAAACCTCGATGAAGCCCTGGTTGTGCGAGCAGTTGATTCTTCCCCAAGCCCCTGTTTCTTCCTCCCCATACCTGCGGTAGTGAACAAAAAAAGCCCAAGAAACAGCAACAACTTCGTTTCTTACTTTTCCAGCCCCAAACGGAAGAGGAGATTCCGGTTTAGGTCTGCGAAAGCCTGAAAATCTCAGTCCAGGAGGGCCGTGTAGTACCGCCAAACACCAAGTACTACTTCAATTCGTAAAGAAACGTAGCAGATAAGATTTCAATTTCAGATAGCCATGAACAGTAGTTTCGCAATTTAGGTTTTATTTTCTTGAACACAACTCTTCCAAACGAAAAAACCAAGGACGGATATAAGTTGAAGAAGTGTTAAGCTACTCAAATCAGTAAAAATACATCATCTTTTGAACATCAGGATCCATCGATGCCTTGAGCGTGGAAGAAGAACTGGGTCGCAGGTCGTTCCCAGGAGAGTTCAGCTCTCAACTCCAACCCAACCCACACCCCCCAACCCTCAATTGACATTCGACCGATTACAAGTGGGTGAATACCCAATAAATTAGTATTATCAGCCAAGTATATGTGAGAACATCCTGTAGTACTACAGGATGTTTACCTCACCCATATATAGTAACCTATCGATACTTTCATACGTGCCAATCTTCTGATCGTGTAATTAATCAGAAGTCCAACTGTCATCATGGTAGACAGTTGGATCAATACTGTAGGGATATATATCAACCATTATATGAATCGGATCATATACAAACATATATATGCCTATATCTTTTTGAAGTAACACCTACCGTTTCATAATTACAGTGTGCATACTATTAGAAAAATAAGATTCTAATAGTATTGTGATGTCATAATATAATAGGTTAATATTTAGTAAGTCAGAACTGATTATCATTTCACTATATCAACCTATATTATTCAGATAGTATGTAATCTAGATATGTGAGGGATTTAGTAAATTGCTGGCCACGTCATTGATCTCACTTCATATGATACGACTTTTATTAACTTGTACTACATTCGTCCCATTTTATGTGTCTTAGTTTGACTTGGCACGATTATTAATGAAGTGATTGATAAAGTAAAAGTTGTGGTTGAGATTTAAGTATAATAAAGTGAAATGGTGTAGGCCACATATTTCTTTCCGAAAAAGGAAAGTAGACACTTATTTTGGGACAACTCAAAAAGGAAAGTAGGACAGGTAAAATGGGACGGAGGGAGTATAAAATAGTTGAACTCAATAGTTAATAATGTTCTACGCCTTATCCATCTCAAGTAGAAATTGATCGTATGTCACAATAAGGACTATATTATCACCGGATATTAACTATATATGGTATTATATACTGGAAACTCAATCATATCAAATACGTTTATTCAGTGAATACGTATATGTTAGTCACTGTAAACAGTATGTCGGTTTACAAGTATTTTACGATAATACTCCTATAACAATTCTGGATTTAAGGTTCATGTTTGATCTACTGCCAACCTTCATAATAACATGTCAATTCCATAACTCGAGAATATAGTACACATTCCGACAAGTCGATCCTAAGAAGAGATGTGAAAATCGTGTATTCAAATTTATTAAGACTTGTATATTCACAGGCATTACATTGTAGCCTAGGGATCACACAATAACGTAACCCGTTAGGTTAAATCTGTATGGGTATTCACGTATCACCCATGTTTAAACGAAAAGATGAGGTAAATATCATTTTTTTTATGAATACTGATAAGTCTGTATTTAGACACGCATTTGATGCATGTTGAGATCGACTTTTAATGGTTTTCCTAGCTTTAAGGTGTTACAAGTCTCAATTTTACCTCAAGTTATGTTTACCAGGCGTTGGTTCGAGTTTCGTTGCATTTGGAGTCAAAATCAGGATTTTTGAGTTCGGCACGGGCGCTTGAGAAGCAATCGGGATGATTTGAGAAGCATTCAAGATTGATATGAGAGATTTGGAGGTCAGTGGGAGGTTCACGATGAAGATTTGATGACAAAAGAGCTCTAGAACTGGCTACGAAATCAAAAGAAGACGAATGGAGCTTGAAATCGGCGATCAGGATGACCTTCTGTCAATCGTTCAAGCATATCTCTTTGTAGAAACAACCAATGGACACGATTCAAGTTCCATATGAAAGATAACTTCAAGGGCTACAAATTATGTGAAAACATATTTGCGAGAATCTGAGAGGAAGAAGGTGAAAACATATGATCAAGTCAGATGATCTCTGCTGCGATTTCAGAAAGACACCTTCCACCGTTTTGATCATATCTCTTGATTGGATGATTCAAATCACATTCAGCAAATTGGGGTGGATAGAGGACTTCATTATCTACAACGTTCATGAAGGAAGAATTTCCAAATTCGAAAGTTAGGTAGGCACGATTGTGCCCTCAAAGTCAGGCACGATCGTGCGTGAAGAGAAAGCATCGTGGAGTTACTGCCAGCCAAGCACGATCGTGCCTGGAGGGAAGCACGATCGTGCCTGCCCAAAATGCGCGTTTTTGCTCCGGAGGCACGATCGAAGGAACGATCGTGCTTGGCTCCGAAAATCCCAATTCAGCTCAAATTTCACCCGATTTTTCTATTTAAACAGCCTGTAAACCCCCGTTTTCAGGGGGGCTTAGAGAGAGTGCCTAGCACAAATTTTAGAGAACTTTTCAGCCTTGTTCATCAATCTTTTAGGATTCTTTGTAAGTTCCACCTTTTTAATTAATGACAATTAATTCTTTTTATTCCAATTCTATTGATTCTTCAATTATGAATTGTGAGTAGTTTTAATTAGGGATTTGGGATTGATCAAGGGATTGATCATGATGTGTGGCTAGATTCCTTTCGATTTAATTGCATGAATGTCTTTTAATTTGTGTTTGAATAATTTAATTGATATATTTTGTAACCTAGAACGGCCGCTAGAATTACAATTCTTTGTAGAATAAATTAAGAGAGATCTAATTTATTCTAGGACACATTTACACACACTTAATCGTTCGCTAAGAGATTAGTAGCGATTAAAGGGCCGTAAGCTCGCTCGTCTTGGCAATAAGTTAGGATCCTGTCGCATGAGAGATCAGTCTGGTCCCCTAAATTATTGTACTCTACACCGCGAGACCGGTAAGAACTTAGTAATGATTAGCTAGGCTCAATTAAATTAATTTCATGTAATTAAGCCTGATCTGCCAGAAATCTTATTACCCCGGAATCAATCCATATTCCCTTCGTCATTTATTAGAAAGAACCCCCTAGTTTAATCGTTCCATTCGCATTAGTTTAATTTTCATACCAATCATATCTCGCACGACACATTTTTTATTTATTTATTTATTTTTAATCGCTGAATTTAGTTAATTCTTAATTCCCTTTTGTCCGTCCCTGTGGAGACGATACTCGTACTTACACCACTATATTACGATCTATTTTAAGTGCGAGAAAACACTCATCAAATACCCAAGCTACAATTACGGATACTAATTGGCATTAGTATGTCGAATGGCAATTAGACATACCCCATGTTCATATACTATCTTTGGACTCATAAGTATTTATTAACATCGGTATTGATCTAAATGGGTACGATGGGAAGGGATAATTTCCTATCCATAGGCGAGGTGACTTGTATAATTAAATTGTTTAATCCTGATTGAGCCAGAATAAAATTCATTAATTACGAAGTAGTTCAGAAATACACAATGGATGTAACATTATGTTGTAGTGTTGTACCATATGAGAAACATAAATCCTAATGATGTCGTGAGTGATCATTGAACGAAACAAGTAATGGCACGATGTAGAATTAGGATATTTTCTTTTGGACTGTTTTCAGTCCCAGACCAGACCAGACCAGACTTAAACAGACCAGACCAGACCAGACCAGACTTAAACAGACCAGACCAGACCAGACCAGACTTAAACAGACCAGACCAGACTTAAACAGACCAGACCAGACCAGACCAGACTTCCGTAGTTATAAAATACACAGAGACCAGACGTTTACCAGACCAGACCAGACCAGTTCAGACCAGACCAGACTTAAACAGACCAGACCAAACCATACCAGACTTAAACAGACCAGACCAGACCAGCAAATTTCAGTCCAAAAGAAAACGTCCTTATACATAGTATGACTTTGGGTGTATATTAATAACAATACGGACATCCAATATATTTCAGACTCAATGGTTCCTATTCAGGTGATTAATGAGAACATATAGTGTGTTCACCATTATCTTGTGTTCATAATTCTTTTTCTAAGTTCGGATTACCATTGAGTCTACCGTTAATCATGATCTCACTCGGAATTTTCCTACATGTTCTTCATACGAAGAACAATAATTAGGGTATATAGTGTGACCAGGTACTATGGTCTAGTAGTACCACGTTTAACCCTATACTCGAATAAGGGTTTGAATATACGGATAATATGGATCATATTTCCATGAAAATTTAATTAGAAATACTAAAGTTAGTATTGTTATCAAGTGAGTATTAAGCATTAACTGTATCCTGGATATTTATACTACGATAGCGATTAATTGAGACTTTATACCGAATAGTGATGTAACCTTTGAGTTCAATTGGTAACAATTTAAAATATCTCCACTTAAGGATTAATTTTTGAATTAATGAAAAATATTGTTCTTAATTATACCATGGTTCAAATGAACTATTATATACCTATAATGGTCTTATAACTTGACGAGATCACAAATTGGGTTAGAGCATCTTCAATGGTACAATGTGCACGGTGCATACATGGCATGAGAGATGACCACATAAATATTAGTAAATAAATTATTATTCTCCTTATTTGAATGATTTTATATAGTTTTGGTAAGTTATTCTCCACAATGTCAAGGAGGCCGTCTAATGTTGACATTGTTGTTGACATTGCAGGAAAAAACTTACTAAAATTATATAAAATCATTCAAATAAGGAGAGAAATAATTTATTTGCTAATAATTATGTGGCTATCACTCATGACACATGTGCACCGTGGACATTATAGCATTGAAGATGCTCTTACGATTAAGACATATATGAAGACTATCATATGGATTAATTACCATATTAATTGTTTTAATACACTTACCAATATACAGTTATATTGGTATCCCATTGAGTTATAACCGAAATGAGATCGGGCCTAAACATTATGGGTCGATATTCTCTATTTTGGGCTAATTTCAATCGAAATTAGGTATGAGATAGGCCCGTTTAGTATCACAATACCCACGAATAATGATAGCCAATCGATTGATATGTTCAACACAATCAACATGAGATACACTATTAGGGGATAACTATATTTATCTTCGTACCTTGATAAATATTCCCTTTTACTCCTAACCAATTGATCCCAGCTATACAATGGGAAACCCATACATTTTGACTTGTAGCTTTACCATTTTAATGTCTTATAGTTAGACACACGATCTATACAGCTACTATTGTTACAATCCGATATGGTACAATAACGTTATAACACAGTCTTCCCATACAATAATCTTCGGTTGATTCCATACAACGCTAACCCTAGAAGAATTATTTTAGCAAGCCTGAAAACAGTGAAGACTTGTATGTTTTTTTCTATTCATAATTTGGACTTGAGTCGTGAATGAGAATTGTGTATTTACTGTATATAGGAAAACTATATAACAATTTATGTTATAGTGACTTGTAAAGTGAGTATCACTTAGTCGTACATTAAAATATTTGGATATTTATAAGGTAAAGTTATATCCTATGATTATCCTAAGTGTATGAATTTCCGAATTATAACATATCTCGTAATAGTAGTTGTTCATAGTAATGTTTGGACTTGAAAGGTGTATAAATGTCGTATGGAGGTTTTGACTCACTATGAGTCCGATCGAGAACAATATATAGTAACCCAATTACATCAGACTTATGTATCATTTAGACTATTTTAAATTGTAATACTCCTTACCTCAGTTTAACATTCCTATATACTACGTATTTTGCTAGTGTCCATTCAAGTAAATAGACTATTTACTTGAATACTCAAAAGTAAATCTAGATACTTGTAATGGACCACTTATGGGATGTACAATCTCATAAGGTACTATGTCTAATCAACACAGTGAATAGTGTCAATGGACATACTTATTTGATTAGCCTATGGACGTACATAGATTTGGGCAACTTTATTGGAATTAAAAGTGAACATAGTGACTTATTGCAACTATATTGTGTACTCATTTATAAATGGTGAACATTATATAGAATAATGTTCACCATTTAATCATAGGTTAAATCATAATATGAGAATTGTGTAATTTACTAGTGTTGACATACGAATATTTAATATATAGCTATTAAATGAGATCTTATTTTCCCCACACGTTATCTCCAATGTAAAATAAAACCGGTGACATACTTTGGACTAATCCCATGTCAACCTATTTTTATACATATGGATGGTATATGACCAAATGATCCTGTTATATCAGTAATCGGACAAGAATACTCCATAACGTACAATAAACTCATTACAGAAATGGATGGTATTATATCATGGACTTGTATGTTATTACATTTAGATTGGCAATTGTTCACCATATTCTAAAATATGAGTAATTTTTCACAAATTACATCGTAAGTAATTTGTGATGTAATTGACACCTATATCCAAATTTGTCCATATTTAACTATCTGACATCCAAAGGTATTACCGATGGACAATCAAAAGTCTATCAAAATTTAAGCCATATCTTAATTATAAGTCAGACAGAGCCAATATTCCGAGTTATTTTAACCCGGAATACGTATGTTGATCATACATTATTGGATATGTATTCAAATTGAGTCCCCACATCTCTATTCGAAACCTGCATAATAGGGAACCCATATCGAATATGAGTATAATCGTTTATTAATGGACCACTAAATAGGACTATTGAATTCCTAATTTCTATCCCATGTATGTAAATATGGGATAGACTATGTAATATCCCGTATTTATGATAATCTATAATTATGGGTGATCACTATATTAGAGACATTCAGATAAGGTATCAAATAACCACATGATATAGTATATTTATGTGATCGTTAAAATTTATAGTACAATACTATACCCAAGTTTATTGATTTATAACCCGATGATGAGGAACTCGAATTTACAGTATAGGTCCCCATACTTGTACTCCTAGTATCAATCGGTGTCCTTACCTGACTACTATGTGAATGGTTTGCCCATAATTTAAAGTTGTCTAAACGAGAATATATTCAGCCAATGTTGAGGCTTATTGTGTATCTTGGACTTAAACCGATCATTTCGGTTGACTATTTTGATATGGTAATATCGTACAATTAAGGCTAATGGACTATTGGAGCAACATAATATTATTAATTATCATTCTTATCACTATGAACATACGGATTAGCTAGGTTGTTATGATACATTATTATCTCCATAATTATAGCTAGTCATGATTATCTCATTAGCTTTGAGAGGTAGTTCTACGTGTGTATATACACACATGTACATTGTATTTTACAATCAATACAATCATTCATACTTTTCATGGTATCTAGAGCCAGCCTCAAACGAGCATCGTAATTTTTTTCCCGATGGTTATCACCGCCACCACCCCAGTGGTTCAACTCATTGCCACCACCAATTTTCCGATTAAGCTCACATCTTCCAACTACCCAGTTTGGAAATGCCAAGTTCACGCCGCTCTTGTCGGCCTCGGACTTGAAGGATATGTCGATGGCACTATCACTGCCCCTGCCCAATTTCTCGATGATGAAAAATCCCAGATCAATCCTTGTTATACTATTTGGTATCGACAAGATAAAGTCATTTTGAGTGCCCTTCTAGGCAGTTGCTCCGACACCATTCAACCCGTCCTATCCTCTGCACTCACCGCTCGTGGTGCATGGAATACTCTAGCTCTCACTTATTCTAGTACATCTCGTGGACACATTATTTCTCTTAAAAATACCCTAGCCAAGACTACCAAAGGGAACAAATCTATTTCTGATTATTTGGCTGAGATGACGGCAATTTCGGATGCACTTGCTCTCGCTCAGAATCCCATATCTGAGGAGGATCTGGTCATCCATATTATTAGAGGTCTTGGGCCGGATTATGGAGATATTAAATCTGCCATACGGCTACGTGAAACCCCACTACCCCTGGCTGAATTGAGACCCATTTTATTGGAGCATGAGCAACAAATAAATGAAGTAGCAGCAACAACGGACTCTCTTTTGCCCACTGCGAATGTGACGCATGCTATTGAGCGTGGTCCACGCAGCCCTCACACTGACCGGCGTCAGGATGGTCCAGGCCGCAGCAGAGGTAACTCCTTCAGACGGGGGCAGAGGTGGCCCAACTCACCAATTCAACCGGTCTGCACATGCAGGTCAACCTATTTGTCGTTTTTGTGACAACGTCGGCCATATTGTTCAACAATGCAGAAAATTGCAACGGTTTCTTCGTGATAATCACATTCCTCATCCTGCCTCATCTAGTAATCCGATGGCTAATTATGTTGCTGCATCGTCACCTTCACCAAATCAGTCCTGGATGTTTGACAGTGGAGCTTCCCACCACGTGGTTAATGATGCAACTCGCCTCCCTACATATGCTGAATATGGTGGTCCAGATGAAGTCCACTTAGGCGATGGTAAGGCCCTTAAAATCACTCACACGGATTCCTCCACCCTACCCACACCCACCCATCCCCTCACCCTCTCTCATGTATTATGTGTTCCTCATTTAAAAAAAAATCTCATTTCCGTAGCCAAATTATGCAAAACTAATCATGTTTCTATTGAATTTTTCTCTAATTATTTTCTTGTCAAGGATCGGGTCACGGGGGCGCCACTACTACGCGGGGAGAACAACAATGATGTCTACTATACGTCCAGTATTCAAGGTCCTCAGCTTAATCTTACTCAACGTCTTGCTCCATCTCAGTGGCATCATATTCTGGGTCATCCATCTAGTCGTGTTTTTGCCTTTTTATTGAATAAAAATAAAAATATTTTCCCATGTACTTCCGCTAGTTCGTTCCATTGTATGTCTTGTTCAGTCAATAAAAGCACCAAGTTACCGTTCTTTGTTAATTCTATGAGTGCTCACCGTCCTTTAGAACTTGTTTATACTGATGTTTGGAGTACGTCTACTCTATCTGTTGATGGATGCAAGTATTATGTCATTTTTGTAGATTATTTCACCCGTTACATTTGGTTGTATCCACTCAAATAAAAATCCGATGTTGCCAATGTGTTTCCCCAATTTCATCGGTTGGTGGAAAAATATTTTAATCATCGAATTGCTACACTTTTTTCTGACAACGGGGGTGAATTTATCAAATTACGTGCCTATCTAAATAGCCATGGCATTTCACATATGACTACTCCGCCTCATACACCTGAACATAATGGGTTAGCTGAACGGAGGCATCGTCATATTGTTGAAACTGGATTGTCCTTGCTTCACTATTCTGGTCTTCCAATAAAATACTGGACGTTTGCATTTCAGACTGCTGTATATTTAATAAATCGTCTCCCGACTCCGGTCCTTGACAACGACACTCCATACTTCCGTCTTCATCAAACAAATCCTAACTACACTAAATTACAACCATTTGGATGTTTGTGTTATCCGTGGTTACGACCATACACAAACAATAAAACTCAGCCCCGATCAATACCGTGTGTGTTCATGGGTTATTCATTGTCTCAGTCTGCTTATTTCTGTCTTGATATATATCAGAATAAAATTTATACCAGCCGGCATGTAAAATTTATTCTTGATATATATCCGTTTCGTGACATGCCATCTCATCTCCAAAATTCCTATCTATCAGGCACTCCATGCATATCCATACCTAACTCCGCCACGTGTTCACCATCCTCACCTATTAGTGCGGCTCACCCTTCCACAATAATTCCTCCACCTACTGTGACACTCCGAAGAAAAAATAAATAAATAAATAAATAAAATAATAATAATTAACTAATTAACAATAATAATAATAATAATAATAATAAAATATATAATATTAGAAAGAAAAAAAAAATAATAGTTCAGTTTGTTAAAAGTGATAAGTGACGTTAGTCAGATTAAATTTTGTTTACTTAAATAAAAGTGACGTTCATACAAAGTGTATGATTATTAAACCATGTACACTACTACAAGAATAATAATAATACACGTAAAATACACGGACCCAACATATACATAGCAGTTATTTCGGATATTCGGTTTATTAACGTATACTAGTAGTAACGTATTGATAAGAAAACGCGAATAGTTCATACCTAAAATAATACTAGTAATTACATACACAAAGTAAAGTACCGTATTACCTACATGTATGGAAACTTATTAATGGGTGTTAATTGCCTAAGAGCCTAGAACCTTCAAAGCTGGCCTATAAATACACAACGTTTCAATCACCTCCACACCTCAACCCACACCTTCATACGAAACACCAAATATATTTTCATCCCCGCATCTCACCGTTTACTTCGACCGAGAAGAAGAGCCGCTGCTGCTGCAGAAGGATCGGACGTCGGGGGTCGCCGGAGAAGGGACTAGCACCACCACCGAAAGGAAAGATCTGACGCTGACTGGACCACTGTTACGGCCATTGCACTACCGAACTGGTACCATAGCTATTTTACCCTACTTTCCTGAAACTTTATGGACGATTGGACTAAATTATTAATAAAACGAAGTAATACTTACTAGTCCACACATCAATACTAATAAAATAATACCGAGTAATAATACGGTGTAATGATAGCCATATAACAATAACAAAAGTATTGCCTGACTTACCACTAGTAATCATTAGGATCATTTGGATGGTGGTAATAAAATCAGAAATGAACAATGTTAATAATTAAACAAAGGAATTACGAATAGTAAATTCTTATTCTTGTATGGATATGAGTCTCAGGGTAGTCAATTACCATATAATTTAGGCTGGACTCCATGAATGTTTTAATTTACTTATCGGGATCAATTTGACTAGCCATTAGTTAGTGAACTAAAAGTTATACGTAGCAATAAACTGGAATAGGAGCATGTTAATATGGGTTCTCACTGTGCTAAGTTGACATGATTTCTAATTAAAAAAAAAAAAAACCATTAGAATAAGGGGTTAAGTAACAAGTAGTTACTGGATCATTTACCTGTCCGAAATAGTAATAAACAGACTAGGAACTTACATGATTAAAATAGAATACGAGTGTTCGTCGTCATTAAACGATTGAGTCGAGGGGTTGATACCAAGAATTAACTCAATTGGTTAAAGAAGATTGTTGGATACAGAGTACTTCTATTTATTGAAATAAAGTAGCAGACTAACTAATTAAATTAATAAAGTACATTAGTGATTCACGATTCCGAATTTCCGAATTCGTATTTGAGAATGAATGAAATCCGAAGTATTTAGGCCAGAGTAATGATAAGTTATTAATAAATGGACAAAAATTATAAAAAGTAAATCAATAACTTTAGTTGACTGAGTGGTTGAGATATCGAGGACTAATTATAGAGTTTTGAATTATTAAAGGTGATTGCTAATTAAATCAAGTTAAGAGACCAAGTAGGAGTGTCACACTTTAAGGTAAGTTTCACGTCAACCGAAATTAGTTCTTTTTACTTCGTGATTTTCTTTGAATATTTTTGTGTGCATATTTGATAACTGAATTTATGTGTGCTGAATTTGATTAAATATTATGATATGAAAGGGTTGTATTTGGGATATTAGTTGATATATTGGTTTGTTAATATGAGTTATTGTATACAATTTTGGGAGATTTTGTAATAGTACGTAATTTGTTATCTTTGTGGGAGTTTGATAAAAAGGAAATTTTTGAAGTATAAACTTCGATTGATTTTGAGAAAGCAAAGAAAAATAAATATTTTCATAAAGAGTGGGCATCACGGGAGAAATCCGTGATGTCGGTTTTCCACGTCCCTTAAAATGTGGAGGGTGGTTAGGTCTACTACTACTCAATTCTTGTTGGTATTGGTTTGAGGTGAATTGATGGTCGGTAGAAAACATCCCGATTTTTTAGTAGTAGTGGTAGTAGTAGCTCCTAATCATTCAGTTTTTGAGGTGGGGTAGTTGGTAGAAAACATCCTGACTACCCGGATCAACTTACTAACCCGGAGGGCTTGGAATACCTTTAGGGGGTGTGCACACTTAAAGTAGTTGTTTCCGTTTCCGTTGAGCAGTTGTGGTACCGGCAATAGTCCCGGGGTGGCCGTACATAACAACGGACCACCGGGCTCAACCAAAGTATTGAGCACCGCCCTTCTAAAATACTAGGGAGTTAGTTACAAAGTGATTTTTGGGAGAAATTCAAAAGAGGAGAATCTTGGTGTTTCATGTATTTTGGAATTATTATGATATTTGCAAATTGTGTGGTTGGGATTTTGTATAGATACCATTTACTTATAATTTATAAAGTGATTTGACAAATATTTTATGAGGCTGTACGAATTTATATATATATTAATTATTATTATTTTAAAAGGTTAGGTGGAACTTACTTAGCATTATTGCTAATGTTTGTTTTCTTTTTATTTTCTTTTGCTCGTTTCTAACAGGAGGTGATCATGTTGATTTTGATGCTGGAATGTTTGAGAGCGCGAACTAGAAGACCTTATCGTAGTTCACTAGAATAAACTTTAATATTTGCTTATGATTCGAACATCTTGATTTTTATTTAAACTCATGTTTTGGTAGATAGCCTTAACATCCAATCATTCACGGATTGGGTGTGGCGGTGACATACCCCCTTTTAATTTATTTTACCTATTTCCGCTGCAAACATTTGAATGATTAAATAATAAATAAAAGTTCATTTCTATTCCAAAGTATTATTTTGGGTGGGAAATTTGGGGGTGTCACAAGTTGGTATCAGAGCCAGGTTGGTTTTTCGAAAGGATTAGGACACGAGGTAATAGGTCGTAGGGAGGAATTCTGTCAACGAGACGATAAGAGTCTGAGCTGGTTGGTGCATAATTGAGCCTTTGCGCTCGTCCAACTAACTGGGAATTTCTCCTTGTGCTGAAACTTCGTTGTTCGAAATCCTTAAATAAAACCTTTGGTATCGTACCTTCAAATGGGGATTTTCAAAATAGTTTGACTAGGAAAAATAAGATAGCTAGTAAATGACCTCTTAGGAACGCGGTGAGGATTGTGAGACCTTGTATTGCTTTTATATGTTGAAAAGAAATCCTTGATGTTATGTGAACTTTTGTTATGCCCAGTGATAGTAGAACTTGATATTGTCTTAGTATTTAAACATGCATTAATAGGATAGTCAGCTCGATTGCTAGACAATACCTAAGTATTTTCTTTGCTTTAGAATATGCCACCTAGAAGAGAAGTCCCCGCAGCGCCAACTAATGTTGAATTGGCGCTGACCATTCAACAACTTGCTCAAACGATTGGCGCCGCATTTGTCCAGAATCAGCAGAACAACAATGATGCCTCAAAGAGGGTAGCAGCACGGAATCCCCCAAGCTACCAGGGTCACGAGGATCCACTCGTTCTTGAAGATTGGATACGCACCTTTGATAAGTTGTTCGAAGTAGTTAACTGTCCGGCGGAACAACGAGTTGACATCGCTGCATACTACTTGCATCAGGAGGCTGACAACTGGTGGGCCACTGATGGACCAGCACTACGTCAACAACCAAATTTTACTTGGGAGGCATTCAAGGAGGCTATGAGGGAAAGATTTTATCCCGAACATGTCAAAGCGGAGAAATACGAGGAGTTTTTGTATCTCAAACAAGGAGATATGACTGTCCAAGACTATTACGCCAAGTTTATGGCGTTAGCTCGATTTGCACGTGCTCTAGTTCCGGACGAGAACAGCAAGGCCCGAAAATTCATCCATGGCCTCAATTTCGACACTCAGAAGGCTGTAAGCGTGCTAGGGTGCCAGACGTTGAACGAAGCCTATACGAAGGCTGCTCTCCACTATAGGGTACAACGACTTCAACGTGATGCTTACAAAAGGAAGAAAAGAGGTGATGACGATGACCAACCACCTAAGGGGAAGAGAGGTAGACCCAATCCCCCTGAACAGCGAACACAATGGCGGGGAGGTGATCGCAATGGCAATCAAGGAGAAAGGAACTTCCAAGGGAAGGGTCCGACAGGTGAACGATACTATCATTGCAAGTTATGCCAGAAGAATCATCCTGGACGCGATTGTGCGGGCAATGATGTGAAATGTTACGAATGTGGCCGGATGGGCCACAGAGCATATGAGTGTCACGTGGGAAAAGGGAAGTCTCCCCAGAACCAAAGCCAAATCAACAAGGGAGGCAATCCTGGAGGAAATCGACCAGGAGGCGCAGAGAATCCTAACCACAACACTCGTGGGAATGGGGGAAACCACAAGGGAAACAACAACGCCCCTAACCAAGGCAAGATCTACGTGATGAATCAAGCTCAAGCTAATGCCTGTGACGTGGTTTCAGGTACCTTTCAAGTGAACTCCATGCCTGCTTATGTTCTTTTTGATTCTGGTGCTTCTCATAGTTTTATATCTTCAAGCTTTGTTAAGAAACTGGGAATAGAACCCACTACTAGAATAGAGCTGAATGTAAAAACGGCAGCTGAAAAAGTTGTGACTTGTGGGAATGTGTACTTGAACGTACCCATACTCATAAGTGACACCAATCTTCCTGGAGACTTGATCCAATTTGATTTAGAAGACATAGAGGTGGTGCTTGGCATGGACTGGCTCGGAAGATACAAGGCAAAAATTTTATGTGGCGAGCAGAAGGTAGTCATGAAAGGCCCTAATGGGAAGAGAATATCCTACAAGGCCGTAACTACCAAACCGGGGGTGAAGCTGGCAACCATGCAACAAATAAACCGCTACATTCGAAAGGGATGTGAAGCATACTTGTGCGTAATCAAAGACTTGAAAGTGGAGGAGCAAACCATTGACCAAACCCCCGTGGTCAATGAATTTCCAGATGTGTTTCCGGAAGAGATTCCGGGGATGCCGCCTGGAAGAGAAGTGGAGTTCTCAATCGACTTGATGCCCGGGACCGCACCAATCTCGAAGGCACCCTACCGAATGGCACCAAAGGAGATGCAAGAGCTGAAGGAACAACTCCAAGAGCTGTTGGAGAAGGGCTACATTAAACCGAGTGTCTCACCCTGGGGCGCTCCAGTGCTATTTGTCAAGAAGAAAGACGGAAGCTTGAGGCTGTGTGTTGATTACCGGGAGCTTAACCGGGCAACTATCAAGAACAAGTACCCACTTCCACGCATTGACGATCTCTTCGACCAGTTGAAAGGCGCAAGTACATTCTCCAAGGTTGATCTGAGATCTGGTTACCATCAAGTAAGGATTGCCGAGAGAGATATTCCAAAGACTGCATTTCGAACGAGGTACGGTCATTATGAGTTCACCGTAATGCCGTTCGGCTTAACCAATGCACCTGCGGTATTTATGGACCTAATGAATCGTGTGTTCCGACCTTACCTCGACCTGTTCGTGGTAGTGTTCATTGATGACATTTTGGTGTATTCAAAGACACCGAGGGATCACGAGGGACATCTTAGAACGGTGCTGCAGACATTGAGAGATAATCAGCTCTACGCCAAGCTCTCAAAGTGTGATTTCTGGAGGGATCGGGTAGCATTCTTGGGCCACATCATCACCCAAGAAGGTGTATCCGTTGACCCATCAAAAATTGAAGCAGTGATAAATTGGCCTACACCCACCACAGTGACGGAGGTTCGAAGCTTTTTAGGCTTGGCCGGGTATTATCGAAGATTTGTGAAAGATTTCTCAAAGGTAGCAAGGCCTTTGACCAACCTCACAAAGAAGACCACTAAATTCCTGTGGAGTAGTGAATGTGAAGAAGCCTTCCAAGAGCTGAAGACGAGGTTGACAACCGCACCAGTCTTGACCCTGCCATCCGGAACCGAAGGGTTTGAGATCTACAGCGACGCTTCATTGAAAGGGTTAGGCTGTGTACTGATGCAAAATGGAAAGGTGGTGGCCTATATATCAAGGCAACTGAAGACTCATGAAGTCAACTACCCTACGCATGATCTGGAGCTAGCTGCGGTGATTTTTGCCTTAAAACTATGGAGGCACTACCTGTATGGGGCACGATGCAAAATTTACACTGATCATAAGAGCCTCAAATACATATTCACGCAAAAGGAGCTCAATATGCGACAACGTCGATGGTTAGAACTTGTCAAGGATTACGACTTAGAGATTCAATACCATGAAGGAAAAGCTAATGTTGTGGCTGACGCTCTAAGCCGTAAATCAATGCATTCTTGTAGAGCAACCTGGATTCTACCTGACGAGCTATGCCGAGATTTCCAGAAGCTGAATCTGGAAGTGAGAGAACTCGGGGAGGTAGATAGCGAGATGCGACTATACTCTATGACCGTTACCCCATCAATCTTTGAAGAAATCAAAGCGGGACAATCTGGAGATGTGAAGCTGGAGCGAGTTAAGGTCGGGATGAAAGATGGAATCAACGGACCATTCAGGTTACATGACGACGGGAGTATACGATATAAAGGCAGGTGGTGTGTCCCAATGAAATGTGAGCACATCAAAAAGCAAATCATGGAAGAAGGACACAACACGCCTTATTCGGTACACCCGGGTGGAGATAAATTATACAAAGACTTGAAGAAGAACTTCTGGTGGCCGAGGATGAAGAAAGAAGTGGCAGAATTTGTAGCCCGATGCCTTAACTGCCAAAAAGTCAAAGCTGAGAGATGCAAACCCAAGGGACTCATGCAACCCTTGGAAGTGCCAACGTGGAAATGGGAATCGATCTCGATGGACTTTGTTGGAGGGTTACCCTTAACAAAGTCCGGGAAAGACAAAGTTTGGGTGATCGTTGATAGACTGACCAAGACTGCGAGGTTCATTCCCATGAATGAAACTTGGAGTATGGATAAACTGGCAAGGGCATACATCAAACACGTGGTCAAATATCACGGTGTGCCCCGAGATATTGTATCTGATCGAGACTCCCGATTCTTATCGCAATTCTGGAAGGAATTGCAAGCGGCTATGGGGACCAAGCTAAAGCTAAGCACTGCATTTCATCCTATGACAGATGGACAGACGGAGAGAACAATCCAAACACTTGAAGATATGCTGCGAGCTTGCGTACTGGACTTGCACGGATCATGGGATGAGCACCTAGACCTGATAGAGTTCTCGTACAACAATAGTTACCATGCAAGCATCAAGATGGCTCCGTACGAGGCTCTATACGGTCAAAAGTGTAGAAGCCCATTATGCTGGAGTGATATGGTGGACAAGGTCGTCTTAGGACCGCAATACCTACAAGACACCATAGAGAAAGTCAAGCTCATTCAAGCAAGGATGAAAGCAGCACAAGACAGGCAGAAATCATATTCGGACCTAGGAAGAAAACCAGCTGAATTCAAGGTGGGAGAAAAAGTTCTACTCAGAGTCTCCCCGACAAAGGGAGTAATGAGATTTGGGAAGAAGGGCAAGCTGAGTCCTCGATTCATCGGACCTTATGAGATTTTGGAGAGGGTGGGAAGAGTAGCCTACCGACTAGCTCTACCCACCGAGTTAGACAAGGTATGAAGCTTACAAGCTCTTTAAACCTTGTTATCAATCTAAATATACTAATATACAATATGTTAGGTACACAACGTCTTTCACATATCTCAGTTAAAGAAGTACGTCCATGATGAGTCCCATGTTATCACCCCAGAGGTAAGAACCTCAACCTTAGAACTCTCGAAACCCAAAATTTGACATTGCGATTAATATGTACGTACTCGGTATTAGGTGGTCGAGTTGGATGAGACTTTGACTTATGAGGAGAAGCCTGTCAAGATTATTGACAGCAAGACACGTGAGACTAGAAGAAAGGCAATTAAAATGGTGAAAGTTTTATGGTCAAACCATTTGGCCGAAAACGCCACTTGGGAGACGGAAGATGACATGCGAAGCCGTTACCCTGAGTTATTTGATTAAGGTAAAATCTTAGTTACGGGGACGTAACCTCTCTTTTAGGGGGGTGGAATGTAATACTTGGTGATTTTATTCTATTAGAACTGTTTCTTTATCTTATGCTTCGGGACGAAGCATCTTTTAAGAGGGATAGAATGTGACACTCCGAAGAAAAAATAAATAAATAAATAAAATAATAATAATTAACTAATTAACAATAATAATAATAATAATAATAAAATATATAATATTAGAAAGAAAAAAAAATAATAGTTCAGTTTGTTAAAAGTGATAAGTGACGTTAGTCAGATTAAATTTTGTTTACTTAAATAAAAGTGACGTTCATACAAAGTGTATGATTATTAAACCATGTACACTACTACAAGAATAATAATAATACACGTAAAATACACGGACCCAACATATACATAGCAGTTATTTCGGATATTCGGTTTATTAACGTATACTAGTAGTAACGTATTGATAAGAAAACGCGAATAGTTCATACCTAAAATAATACTAGTAATTACATACACAAAGTAAAGTACCGTATTACCTACATGTATGGAAACTTATTAATGGGTGTTAATTGCCTAAGAGCCTAGAACCTTCAAAGCTGGCCTATAAATACACAACGTTTCAATCACCTCCACACCTCAACCCACACCTTCATACGAAACACCAAATATATTTTCATCCCCGCATCTCACCGTTTACTTCGACCGAGAAGAAGAGCCGCTGCTGCTGCAGAATGATCGGACGTCGGGGGTCGCCGGAGAAGGGACTAGCACCACCACCGAAAGGAAAGATCTGACGCTGACTGGACCACTGTTACGGCCATTGCACTACCGAACTGGTACCATAGCTATTTTACCCTACTTTCCTGAAACTTTATGGACGATTGGACTAAATTATTAATAAAACGAAGTAATACTTACTAGTCCACACATCAATACTAATAAAATAATACCGAGTAATAATACGGTGTAATGATAGCCATATAACAATAACAAAAGTATTGCCTGACTTACCACTAGTAATCATTAGGATCATTTGGATGGTGGTAATAAAATCAGAAATGAACAATGTTAATAATTAAACAAAGGAATTACGAATAGTAAATTCTTATTCTTGTATGGATATGAGTCTCAGGGTAGTCAATTACCATATAATTTAGGCTGGACTCCATGAATGTTTTAATTTACTTATCGGGATCAATTTGACTAGCCATTAGTTAGTGAACTAAAAGTTATACGTAGCAATAAACTGGAATAGGAGCATGTTAATATGGGTTCTCACTGTGCTAAGTTGACATGATTTCTAATTAAAAAAAAAAAAAAAACCATTAGAATAAGGGGTTAAGTAACAAGTAGTTACTGGATCATTTACCTGTCCGAAATAGTAATAAACAGACTAGGAACTTACATGATTAAAATAGAATACGAGTGTTCGTCGTCATTAAACGATTGAGTCGAGGGGTTGATACCAAGAATTAACTCAATTGGTTAAAGAAGATTGTTGGATACAGAGTACTTCTATTTATTGAAATAAAGTAGCAGACTAACTAATTAAATTAAATTATCACGATTCCGAATTTCCGAATTCGTATTTGAGAATGAATGAAATCCGAAGTATTTAGGCCAGAGTAATGATAAGTTATTAATAAATGGACAAAAATTATAAAAAGTAAATCAATAACTTTAGTTGACTGAGTGGTTGAGATATCGAGGACTAATTATAGAGTTTTGAATTATTAAAGGTGATTGCTAATTAAATCAAGTTAAGAGACCAAGTAGGAGTGTCACACTTTAAGGTAAGTTTCACGTCAACCGAAATTAGTTCTTTTTACTTCGTGATTTTCTTTGAATATTTTTGTGTGCATATTTGATAACTGAATTTATGTGTGCTGAATTTGATTAAATATTATGATATGAAAGGGTTGTATTTGGGATATTAGTTGATATATTGGTTTGTTAATATGAGTTATTGTATACAATTTTGGGAGATTTTGTAATAGTACGTAATTTGTTATCTTTGTGGGAGTTTGATAAAAAGGAAATTTTTGAAGTATAAACTTCGATTGATTTTGAGAAAGCAAAGAAAAATAAATATTTTCATAAAGAGTGGGCATCACGGGAGAAATCCGTGATGTCGGTTTTCCACGTCCCTTAAAATGTGGAGGGTGGTTAGGTCTACTACTACTCAATTCTTGTTGGTATTGGTTTGACTCAATTTTAACTTTCTCTGGGTCAAAAGATATTTTAGACTTTTTTTTTATCGGTGAAGATATAACACTTTTCCTCATAAAGATAGTGTTGACATATCTTTAAAGCAAAGACAATGGCTGCTAGCTCCAAATCATGTGTGGGGTAGTTCTTCTCGTTCTCTTTGAGTTGTCTTGAGGCATGTGTAACCATCTTTCCGTCTTTAGGGGCAACTGGTAATATCCCGATCGAATATCATTTTTAAGAAAGCTTTAGCTCACTTTGAAGTATTAATCTTTTGTCTTGGCAATTTATTACAAATTTATACTTAGTAAATTAAACCTATTCGTACCGACAATTTTATCAAGTTCTGTATATAGTAACTTGATGAGGCTCATATGAAATTGCTCAACTTGTATCTTTAAAGGTAATTTTAGTTATTTTGATTAACACTTATACTTCACCCTAGAGGCTAGATCCATGAATACTTTCATTTTTAAGACAATAAAAAAATCTCGATCTTGGATGTTCCACCAAGCAATAGAGGCGATCACATGCATATATATAAGTGAGTAGAACAAAAGCCCACTACATAAGGTACATTATTACTTTAATTGTATATGATATCACTAAATACGAGGATGGGAGGCGGACTTCTAAAATGCAATGCAACGCACACGGTGTAGGACTTTAAAGTAAAACCCATTTACCCAAGGTTTAAAAGAAATCGTTTTAAAACCATTTGCTCTGATACCAAAATGTAACACCCTACCCGAACCGGCCCCGCCGACCCGAGCGGTGTGTCACGTGGCAGGAATCAAAACAGATTTAACCAAAAGACTTTTAGTTATTTAAACAAAATTAAGTATTTAAATAAAACATATCTATTGAAATGTTAACTTATTATTCAATATGTGAAAATATCAAGTCGCCATAAATCACTTAATATTAAACATCACAAAATATTTTAACGAAGGCAGCGGAAGTTCTTAAAATCGCATATGGCATTTTAAAGTCCCTTAATAAACACCGAATAATATGACATGCAAATGAGTCATACGCCTCCTTCAATCCCAGTGCTCCTAGCGAGTTCCGTGCTTAACCTACGGGTAGGAAAACAAACAACTACCCGCTCAGCAATGTGCTGAGTGGTACGGTAATAACAATAACAACAATATTAACATATCAGGGCACATATAAACATATCAGAATTGTAATATCAACATATCAGGGCATATATAAACATGTCAGAAATCACATCTAGTCAGATAGCATATAACATACCTGGGTGATCTGAGCAGTTATTATAAGCATACAAATATTTATATATATATACAGAACAGAAACACATTCAAATATCATAATTATCAGAATATTTTTATTCTGAGACTATTGTTATTTTACTTTTGTACAAAACAGAAACGTATTCAGATATCATAATTATCAGAAAATTCTTATTCTGAATCATTTATAAACATATTCATTTAAGCCTTGTACTCAAGAATCTGGACCTAGACAGAGGAACACTAACGGTAAGGAATACAGACATAAAGTCCATACCCACATTACCCAGAAAGGATATGGAAACGTAATCGCCGGAGCTACACGTACCAATCCCTAACAGAAGCTAGCTGAACAGAAAGGACGAGATCACCGAGGAGACTCGAACCTTAACAGAAGAATAATAGTGCTCTAAAAAGATTTCAGGAGTGTACATAGTACACTAAACAGGAGAACACTAATTCCTCTAAGACAGAATTTCAGAAGTGTACATAGTACACTAAACAGATCAGATCAGGAGTATTCGTGTCAGAGTGCCAGATCAGGATTTGCCTTGTGTTGTTCGTAAATCTATTATTGCAGATAAACTCGGTCTTAGTTTCTTTAGATATTTTTAGCTTTCTTCCTTCTTTTTTCCCTTTTGGGTCAGGTTTAGCCCCCCCAAAATTTTTTGTGTGACTTACTCTATCAATAAAACATCGGCAAATGACTCCCAGCATTTGCCCCACTGATTTTGGTGGTTTGCCTTCTGGGATAAAAAAAAAAAAAAATACAAATAATAACAAAAGATGGAATTATCATATCTTAATTTTTTTAGGAGTTCTTCAGAATTTATAATTTAATCTTACACGGAAAACTTTTCATAACATTTCTAATTACTACATAGCATCTGGAGCATCTCTACTGAATTGTTTTTAAATAAAATACTTCGTATAACTTAAACAAACAAATCGTAGCCATTACTTTAGATCTCTACATATGTACTAAATTTACATGGTCAACTTGTACTTTATTTTATAGCTCATATAACTTATTATTATTATTTTTACTTACGTAAACAGTACTACTTTAAAATATACTGTCTTAAATGTTATTATAATTTTAAACCGTAATATTTAGCCACATATTTATATATATCTAGCACCTAGGAAAAATTGGCTACTTTTAGCTAAATTAGTTAATGCATGAGAATATAAACATTACACGTATCATTGCACTACACACATATGCATACACCTATTTAGCTAAGTCGGTCACTTTTACTTCTATATTCACTAAATAAATGTATAATTTATAAATATATTTTTATACTCCGTACTTCAATATTCAGATCGAATGCAGTATAATTAAGTATGTGTATAAACTGATTCGTATACATAGTTGAAATCTTACAGATCTTATCTGAAGTGCGTATATGTAGCGAAACTCAAATAAATTTATACAGATCAGGAAATAAGTTTTCTTTTATTTTAAAAGAATTTACTTAAAATCATAATAAAACTCTATTATTAAATAATGACTCGTAACTCGTAAGTAAATATCTAAAACTAGTTTAGACTATATATTTTATTCATTTACGAAAGTCAATTTATTAAATACTAGTTAAATGATCTCATAATAAAATGTGCGTGGAAGTTGTGTAAACAAATACGTATACATGCATTCTTCTTCTTCATATTGCGTATTACGAGTAAGAAATAAAATAATTAATTGAGTATGTAACTACTACATGAAGTTATATTTATTAATACATCTACTTAATACATACACTTCGCATACAGGTACGAGTATCAAAACATATCAGTTTATATTTTGTAGATACCTTTAAGTTACAGCTTCTTATAATTTCCATAGACTTACTCCTTTTTATTTTTAATATATACATCAGTGAATAACAGTCAGATATGATTCTAAAATTGATATTACATATAAATTAAAATACACATATTCAGAGCATGTACAATATTTCTAAACTTATACAACATTCATCATCCCCATAACATCTCAGGAACAGGGACGGAATAATATAATACTAACAAAAATGGGGATAGGAAACGTACGGACCTTATAGACAAATTCTCCTGATATTTTTGTTGATATTTTTGTTGATATGAGAACCTCCTATACGGCTACCACTCTTCTTCTTTAAGCTATGTTTCTTCTAATTGGTTTCTTACTTTTTTTTTGTCGGGGCCGTGTTTATGAAATAAGAGGAGGTAATAAGCTCCTATTTAAAGCCAAATAAATCTCATGTGTATGGCTAGGATTTTAATGTAGCAAATAATTGAATTGTCTTTTCCTCTATCTCATTACTACGTACTATACATGCATGTATGATCATTCATTTGCCCATACCATGAGTTGGCTTTACTATTCCTTTATTTAAAATACTTCACCACAATTGATTTAGCTTGTCAAATCTGTCTCCTAAATGTTACTATTCAAAATAATTATTCACTCAAATAAATCAAGTCATTTAATTTGGTTGTTCTCACGTCCCTTATTATTATCTTACAATATATCTTAAATCTATTATTTTACTTTTAATAATAATTTTCTTTTAAAACTATTTACATTAAAATTTTAAGAAGATGTTAAATTTGATAGGGAAATAATATCTAAAAATCTACTCAAATGTATCTTAACTACTAGACCAGTTTTTGGGGCGTTACATTTCTCCCCCCCTTAAAAGAATTTCGTCCTCGAAATTACCCGAGTTGACGTTAAACAAATATGGATATTGGGCCATCATATAGCTTCTTCTGTTTTCCAAGTTGCCTTCTTCCATGGTGTGGTTCCTCCAAAGAACTTTGACTAAGGAACCATTTTATTCCTTAACACATTTATATCTTGAGCAAATATTTGTATCGTTTTCAAGCTCCACGATTCCGGATGTTAGAACATGTGAAGGATCATATGATTCATAACAATATCTTCTTAGCATTGATACATGAAAAACATCATGTATTTGGCTCAACTATGATGTTAATGCTAGTCGGTAGACTACAGGATCAATACGTTCAGTGATTTCGTAAGCATTTTAAAGTTTAAAATCATTCGATCTCTAAGTGGCTAAGTGCATATAATATTTAGTACGTAACTAAATATATGAGTATGTTGATTTTGTATGTTATAGCTCCATCTATTAAAGATGGTAATTATTGCCCACTTATATATACACAAAAATATATACACACTTAAGTACATACGAATGTCACAATTATTATTCATGCACGTATATGCACGTATACCATATATTATTTATTTACTTATACTTAACTGTTTAAGCCAAACATTTCATATATCTATATATAATAATACTTAACCGTAGGTATAGCCAAATTCTATAAGTTCTAATCCAAAGTGCTTGCATGTATTGTTTGTATCTAAAATAATAAAACTGGGCTAATACTACTATGTTTAATAAATACTACATAGAATATAATAGGGATGGTGATTTGGGTATATATGTATACCCACGTACATATATAGGTGGTCATTTAGATAATTGAATTGGTCCATGCATGTGTTATATATGTATTACATAGTATACATTCATTGGTAAAAAAAAGTGTGAGTATTTATAATTAAGTACATGGTTGTCCTAAAGTGTAATTTTAAATAAAAAGAATACTGAATTCATATATTCAAATAATTATCCACGTATATACATATATATGTCGATGCAAGCCTGTTATATATATGTTATTACGTAAACTTAATAATTTTGACTAACACTTACCCAAACATTAGCATCATTGCATACAGTAAACACTTTTCTATCTTAAAAAGTGTACATCACATGCATGACATTAATTCATCATAGTATTTTCTTATGGAAAATATTCGTAGTATATATAGTAGTTTCTTTTATAATCCAAGAATCATAGAACAGTTACGTTATACGGAGTATTTAATATAACCATGCATGACTTCTAATTTATTTTGCTTTTTAAATTCACAACTTTATTTTCAGTTGCATTCATATTCCTTAAAAACGTAATTAACATGTATATTTTTGTGCCTATAAATCTATAACTCTAATAAATTAAAGAAAACATATTTAGAGCACAAAACATTTACTTTGTATTTTGCTATATATGAAGTTTATTATCATCTCCATAACATAACAAGAAACGGGGACAGAAATTATATTGAAATGGGAACATTAAAAATTACCATTGCGTAAAATGGGGCAGAAACGTATTGACCTTATTCTAAAATTTGTTGGCATAAGACTCTCCTATGCGGGTTACCTTCATCTCCCTGCAGCTAGTTTATTTTGGTAAATTTTATGACTAGACCGAGTGATATATTGTGGAAGGGGAAATAAGCTACTTCGTATGTTCCTATTTAAATATATCCTAGCTAACCCCAATTATCACCTCCCATGTAACGACCGTCCCCAAAACGACCATTACGACACCCAACATTAAAAAGACTCGATAATCAAGTGAAAATAAAGATACAATGTCTCGTCATGAAACTTTATATCTTATATACATAACCAAATCTCATAACCAAAAACGTCAAATAACCAAAAGAAAATGTCTTTAAACAAAACATTTACACCTGATCAGGATTTTAAAACAAATATTAAAATAACCCATAGCAGTACCGTAGTACTAAAAACAAAACATAATAGATTGCCCGATCTTCTCCGTTAACCCATCCAAAACCTTGTCACCGGCTCCATACATTCTCTCAGGCTTCTGTATCTCGTTTATTACCTATACATGAGAACATAAGAGAATAGAATTCTCGTAAGCAATAATGCTTAGTAAGTCACCATTTTATCCACTAAAAACATTTAGGGAATCTTAGCTAATCATAAATAGATATCCATGCTGAATACATCACACATATACTATAACCCCACATGATAAAAACACATAAGCATCCATGTGTCAAACACCAAGAAATTTCCTTATTCATCATTCTTTCTTGACTTATGGGCCCGTAGCTCGTGTCCTGGCCCCTCGCTGATGACCTCGGGTAGCTAGCCCTCAGCCGTCAGAAGCAACCCCGGGACTCCCCGCGGAAGGATGTCCCGCTCCGCTCAGCTCAGGTAGTTACTTGGGGGCACGGCTACCTTGTTACATTACTTAACTTTCATTACATTCATTATCATCCTCACTTCCTTTCATTGTTGGTTCCATATGAATCCAACCCAAAATCAAACATATAACTGGAAATTCACATATCTCATGCCATACAATTTCAAGCATTCAAGCACATACATCAAATTCACAATTAGCTAATCTTCCCTACTTTATTTAGAACTATCATGTATAGGTGGTGGTGACTTACCTGTTAATGGCTGAACTCAAAATACTGAGAATAAGTGTTGCATCCTGATAACGTCTTCCGGTAAGCTCTTCTCTTAAATCTTTATCTTTAATTAAAAGTAATGATAAAATAAGAAACTACTAGTGACTAAACATAACTGTTACAGAGACTCGACTATCTACTGGAATACCGAATACCCATCACAAAGCTTAATTTATTTGATCTTTCAGGTAAACCTGCTAAACCTAAACTGAAAGGGATAATCAACTTTATTAAATATAATATTACTATCAAAATCCATTATACATTGAACCAAAGATTTGTTACTAAACTTTGTGTTTCTGCTAAAACGTAATAACCAAAAGACCAATTGTAAAAGAATGATCCAAATAGTTTAGCCGTAAATAGTTCTGTATATGTAATATCTATGTATCCAAATCCAAGGGAAAAAGGTACAACAGTACCACTGGCCAAAGAAAATTAATTAAAATTGCTAGTATTTTGTTTTAAATGTTCAAAGAAGGAATTGAAGAGGCCACTGTATGAATCGCATGCACCAACAACTCCCCTTTTTATTTTATTTCAAACGTACAACAAGTTTAAGGAGAATAAAATCATTTACCTAGATTCAAATTAAAGATCAATTCATGAAATTAAACTTTGAAAACCTTTAAACGAATAAAGGGACTAACAAAATCTTTGCAGATTTTCATTCTATAGAAGTAAAATTTAACTTACCAGGCCTTTGATGTAAGTGAGAAAATTTTCGTATAGGGAGGAAGATTAAAGAACAGCACCGATCAAGAGAAAAGAAAACTAAATGCCGACTCTTTAGAGAACCACTTAGGTATATAAATTTCGTTCTAGGGCTTTAGTTTTGAAAAGAAATACTCATTTGGGCTTAAGATAACCAATTCGGGCCTTAAATGATAAAAACAATGTGTCCGTCCAAACATTAAAAAAAATGATAAAAATATTTTCCCTTTTAATAAAAGTATGATAGAATCTAAAATAACGATTATTTATTCACTAGAAGTATTGGAACTCACCGGTCAACGTTATCTGCCACAAAATGATAAAACAAGATAAAATAATAAATCATATTAATCATAAAAGCAACTTATATAACTGACTAAAATAAAAATAACTTAAGTGACTAGCTCACAAAATCGGGTTGTTACAACTCCTCTCACCTTATAAAAGTTTCGTCCTCGAAACTTAAAAAGAAAACTCGGGACACTGACGACTAATAGTATTTCTTTTCCTGATTTCTCACATGGTTTAGTGCAACTAGAATAGCTTTAAACCCTTACAAGGTTATTTCTTCTTATTACCAACCTGATCGTACCACTAGTGTTGCGGAGAGATACTACTACTTCACATAATGACCAACAGAAGGATGCCAACAACTCCTCGAATAATAACCTTAGTAAGTTTTTTTTTTTTTTTTTCCTCATGTTTTCAAACTAGAACACAAAATCACAAGCTCACTAGTCACAACATATTCTATAATCGAATTAGTTTGCCTTGCTTGTGTACTGATGTGAAATAAAAGACAATAGTAACTTTTAACCTTGTCATAAAAACTAGCTACAAATACTCCTTAAAGTGGACACTCGGAATCACATTCTACTAGTACGCTTATGTCACGCCCCGGACCTCCCCGGACACGTCAACAACCCGCCGTACAATACGAATAGTCAATCGCAATCCAACACATTCATATTATACAAGGCGTCATGAATATCATTCACACATAAGTCATCCATAAACAACATAATAAGTAATTCATAAAGCAGCGGAAAACATTGTTTAAAACGAAAGAGCCACACCGGGCTATTCATGAGCACGCAGGCTCTATAATAAAATATCCATGAGCAAATTTATTAATGTTTCAAATAGAATGGAGGAAGC